ATTCCAGTTCGACTTCTCGAGTAAGAGTCGGAATGCGAAAGCATCTGAGGTCAGCATGCGATCTGGAGTAAGAAAAAGCAGATCTTCGCAGAGGAATTGTTCCTGCTACGATGCAGTAATCAGTAGCCCGTGGCAAAAGTGTTTTAATGCTGCGAATTCAGTGGACATCGCATGCCAGAGAGGTTCTGCTTATGCAAGCGGCTAAGGATGATGATCACAAGCATGCATGCAGCAAGTGCACCTGCGTCGTTGGTGATTCTGTTTTGAATTGAATATGGAATTTGTGCATTTTTCTATGTACTCTGATGACTTCTAAGGATTTTGTTTAATGGCCTAAACCGCTGAGCATCCGAAACCATTGCCTAGCGCTGAATCTAGAAATGGGGCATGGAGATGTACAAAACGACCAGCAGCGTCAATTACAGTTGAATTCTCAGTTGATTACTGCTGCATTCCTTGTACTGCAATTTTGACCTGCTGCCGGTGTTCGACTGAAATATTCGATCGCATCACATGGCGAATTGCGTTAGTGTTAGCCTCGAAAGCATCACGGCTAGGCAAATTTGCAATTTATTTTGTCGTCGGTAGTAGCATCAAGGTAGATTTGGTCAGTGATCTTCGTTACAAGGCTTTGCGTCTAATTCACATCTAAATCGTACGCATTTTGTGACCTCGTGTGTTTTTGTACACGCGTACATGCAAAGTTCTGTTTACGCGGTCCATGTTTTGAAATAACGTAGTCGCAGCGCAACAAACGCAATGACCAAAGCTCTGTCCCTTGGCACCGCAGTAGCCTACGTCGAAGTGTCAGGCAGCTACACCTGGCCGTATGATGACTACTCTGTGGTGTACTGGCAACGCACACCAGATACTCAGCGCTTTCTCTGCAGGTTTCCATTGTGTCATTGTCTTGCGCATGCAGCGTCGCATACAAACTTGGACGATTGTGAATGGACAACGTCAGCAGATAGACTGTGTGTATGTGTGTGTGTGCGTGTGTGTGTGTGTGTGAGAGAGAGAGAGAGAGAGAGAGAGAGGGAGGGAGAAGTTTCACTCGCGTCATTTGAATATTGAGGACGATGAAATACACAGTGGAAGTTTGATTTCCTATTGTTGTGTGTAATGTCGTCATTCTTTTGTATATGGGATGATTTGTAGTGAAATGTCATTGAAACGGTTTACTACAGTATTACAGTTGGTGTTTCAGATGATAGACCTATATCGACGTTTGGCCCGCATTTCACAGGCCTTCTCCAAGGTAAGGAGTGGTAATTTTTGATTTTTGTGGAAACTGTATGTAAGAGACTACTTAACCGGAATCACGGACCGGTTCGCTCATATAAGCTAGATTCTCGGGTCCACGCGATCTAACTATTGCAGACGAAATGTATTGCCTTGTTTTGTTAAACTTTCTTCCCTGTTACTGCTGTTTCTCTCAGGATGACTAATAACGCGCGAACGAAATATTCCAGATTGGAATTAAAATCTGTTTGGCGGCTATGGCTGAAAAACTGATTCCGGGTGCAAGCCGAAACGAGCTTTCTAAAACAAATCGCTGGAATCACGCGCCGCGACAGAGTCTGTAATTCGCATATCCGAGAATGCCTTGGTATACAGCCGCTGCTTCTTCAGACTGAAAGGTCACAGCTGCGATGTTTTAGGCACGTCTTTCGATTTTTACCAGAAAGAAGGCGAAGATGCTACTATTTGTTCAACCGATCGTCCAAAGACCCTGGAGACAGCCCAGAATAACCTGGGAGAAGTACGTTGTCCGACAAGTACTTTGCAACAGACTCAGGTTATCTTCTGCTGAACCTCAAACGGTGACAGAGGATCAAGAGGTCGGAAACGCTGGCTATCGCTGCTGCCTCCACAGGACCCAAAAGAATAAGTGGTCCTCGAAGCTGACGGACTGTCTTATTCTACTTATCTTCTCGTCATCTGATATGTGTTGAATCGTTTCATCCTTTCCACCTTTCCAGAACATTGCTATGCCTCTTGAACTTTAACAAATTACATTCGTTCAGCATATGCATGTATATCAGCTTGTGTGACTATTAGATATCTTTTCCTAGAACTTGACTGACAGTTTTGCACATGCTGCTGTGTTTATTTGTACAACCTTTGAGAGGTCGCGACCCTTTACACTTCCATAGCATGATTATTTGTAGTTGCGATTTGTGATTAATAGTATGAGGCAATGCTGATTCTCGATTAATATCTTTAATTATAGTTGCCTTATTTTGGAGGCACTGCTTTCAGTCAGGCTGCGTGACAACCACGATCACGTTGCGAATTTGGTCCTTGCTCGATATATCTAATGATACTCGTGTATCTGCTTCAGACGGAGGAAAAGCATGTATCTCTATCGAAATCGAGCATAAATTATTCGATCGCGGGTTCAGTGTTATGTCACTGAGCCGTCGGGCTGGTATGCGGTTAAACGGTTGAGTTGTTTATTTAGTTGCTTTCTTTTACCAAAATATTTGTAAATAAATGTTCGCGGAAAATGTTCTATGCCTAAGTTTGAAACCTGATTTGGTCATCATTTAAATGAGGTGGGGCGTAATTGCGTAAATGATGATATTCTCCTATGATCTTTTCTGTTGTTTGGTCAAACAACGAATGTAATAATTAGAAGGCGTCATGCTTCGCTGCCTTGTTCTTCGTCACAGGAGCAACCCAACAGCTGCAAGTGAAAATCGGCCAACTGAAGACTCGTTTGTATTCTTTTGATCTGTTCTTCGTGGACGACAGTTTTTTTTTCACGCAGCCTGCTGAACGTAAATTTAGCAGTAAATTCTCAGAAAGCTCCATAGCAGTCTAGCTGATCATTGTTTGAATATTGCCAGGCAAATTTTATCAGTTCGCTGTGCGCTCTCGATTAACAGGCGTGCATCATGTTGCGCGGAAAACTGGTGAAGACTGTTTTTATGAAGCGATGAGATTTATGACCTGCAGCGAAAAGGGAAACTTAAAAGCAAACTGTTGGAACCACATGAAACCGCTTAATTGAGCGAATCGACATGTCGTGGCCTAATACTGAACCGTTTGCTCATCTTCTAAGTTGTGATTTCACTAATTTCGTATCTGCTTTCGATAATAGTAGACTCGAGAAGATCCTACTCTAACGATGCTAATTTTAGCTCATATTCTGTACAGATATTGAGTACTGCGTTGCACGAGCAGAGCAGGTGTAGAAGGCTGTAAAATCAAAATGATAAGAATGGTTATTGAGGAACAGATGAGTTTGGTTTCACTAACAACAAAGCCAGTGTTTCAGCATAGAAAACGACTATTCGAAGTGTCTCGCCTATTTTTTGTGTTAAATTACATTACTGATTCTCTTTTGACTGGTATGGTAGAAGCAGTAGATCCCGAATGATTGGACGAAAAATATTGTGTCGCCGTGTTTAAGAAAGGACGTTGCTCGGATTCAAATAACGTGCGTGGAATCAGCCTGCTATCCGTTCCTGCTAAAGTGTTCATGCATGTTATGGTGACTAGAAAACGTCTTGAAAAGATACTGGGTGAAGAGTCGTCAGGTTTTAGGGCAGGCAGAGGATGTTTAGACCAGATATTCACAATCAGACGGCTAATGGAAAGGAAGAGAGAATAGAGATTATTTGCGATATTCGTTGATTTCACCAAAGCGTTTGACAATCTGGAGAGGTGCCTTGTGGAAAGTTTGTAAACAATATGGAATACCCAAAATATTCGCATGATTAGAAGGTTGTATGATCTTTCGTCTAGTGCAGTGCGAATCGATGGCAGATTCGACGTTCGACAGTTTTTCTTACAAAGTTCGAAGTAAGGCAAGGTGATGTGGAGTCTTTTATGCTATTTGCGATGTTTCTTGGCTGGGCTTTCCAGACAGTGCAAAGGAGTGGGGCCACGACTTCGGCAGGAGTGGGCAACATCTGTGTAAACTCTCATACATTTCCGGATAATATCGTTTTTTGGCAGACAGCTGCGAATCTGCGGCTTGACTGTTCCTAACTCTAAAACAGATCTTCTGATCTGGGCCGATCGATCAGCGTGGAGAACACGAAGTGGACGGGGATTGATGGAACCCAGGCCAGTGTCTATTTGACACTTGACACCGACATTTTGGAAAAGGTGCCCGAACATATATATCTTGGGAAGACATTGACTGCAAATGAACAAGCGACAAATGGAATTAAGAGGCTAAGTGCGTTGGCTGTGGCAACCGACAATGAAATTAGGCACGTTTGGAGCGGACAAATACTTCGAACATAGGAGACGGATGCGCATTTGTAGAGTTTGCATTCTATTTACCTTACTCGATAGTTTCTCGAGGGCAGCACTTAACAAAGCTGGCAACACTAAAGTAGAAGAAACAGATATGATGATTTCAAGATCACTATTAGAAGTGAAGTGGAACGATTTGGTGTCATATGCAGTTGTAAGAGATTAGAACGACCAACTGGCATGACCGACTGGCTACAAACAAGACGTTTAGATGGTGGAGCCGTTGCCAAAGAATAAACGACAAAGGCTTTGCAAATTGAATACCGAACACTGATGACCGCTAGGAAGACTTCCACCAAGATTGGGAAATCTTGTTAGAATTGAAATAACATCGAAAGGACTTAAAAGTAAGCAATATTTTATTCGATCCAGGTAGAATGCATGTGTGTGAAACCCAGCGTCGTCTTCGATGCAGTGGAATAAGAAGAAAAGGATCTGAAATGCTGTTCAAGTAAAGAAAATGAGCGTGCACACGAGAACGTAATTTCTGATGCGGATTCTCAGCGGGCACCTTCCACCTATTTGCTGTACCGCCATCGCATGGACGGCAACGGCGCGCGCTTGTGATCTTTATGCCTGCTGATTTTTTGATGTTTTGTTTTAGGCGACACTACAGATTGCGCGTTTGTATCAACAGTTCCTCCTAACAGCAGAGAGGACCAGTCTCGTACTAAGACTCTGATCCTCTGACAGCTATCATTTGACGCGTTGGTGAATATAGTGCAACGATGGGCATGTTCGGCGAAGAAAAGTATGCGCTATGGATTCGCTGCGTACTCATGCTGCTGCAGTTTTGGAACTGGCTGTACAACATCCTGTCTTACATTCCGTTTCTGATTCTCGAGAATCCGCCTGCTCGCGTGGAGAATTCAAAACGCATCAAAGTGAGTCAATTCCGTTTTTGTATCGTTTTCCA